GCAAATAGGTTTTATCATTGTGCCTATTTGGTAGCTGTACAACCAATAAGCTGAGTGATAAACTATGATAAAGATACTGACAACACTACCATACCTGTATTGATAATTTTTATCGATAACAGGATGCTACCACAGGTAGACTGCGGTGTATTCTCATTCTTTCTTATTTCACGCTCGAAAACGTCACTAACTGTACCTTGAGCTTTGGTTACGGTACTAGCCTTTTCTGGCATAAGAAGTTTCTACTTTTTAGACCCATGCAGCGGCAGATAATTCCCTTAAATTACTAGCCACAGCATTCATCACTCGAAATTGGATGCTGACCTTCGCCGTTTGAATTCATCTGTTTAGCTGAAGGCCTACGGCCAAGCGTCCACGCCATCTGGCACGCCTTGTTACGTTTGATAGTTCGCGCACAATCCATGGCTAGCTGAGAACTAACCCCCGCACCACATCCTGGTCCCGAAACATGCTTCTAACTCTGTACGACCACTTTGGTGTTTTGATTTGTCTTCGGTCTACATGGAATGAATGCTATAGAATTATGGGTACTAGATCTTGTGTTAGTAAACATCGTACTATCCGTGAACGTCAGTACCCTCGGCCTCTTAGCCATGTCAACTTTTCTAGAGATTTAATTAAGGCGCCAGAACTACCTTGCTCATATATACTGATTCGCCCAGTTAACTAAACTATTTTAGCGACCTGTTTAATGTCAGTATTAGAGAACTGAGGGTGACCAACTATTTGAGAATGTTTTAAAAACAATGCCTCATATCATCTTCAGAGTTTGCGTAAAAAAGTGTTTGAAGACTGAATTTCACCACCTGCCTGAGTACTGTTTTGAAAATCTTTTGTATGTGTAGGACTGTTCTATTTATTCCCGCTACTGAAAGGAGGGAGAGTGCTATGCCTTATGCGGTTCAACGACCTCTTAAGATGTCTTGCAAGAATAAACACTTTCGATGGACTAGGCAATTCAATTATACTTTCATTTCAAAATGAATACTTTGATCACGCTTCGCGCAGATAAGAATGCTCGAAACCGTATCATTCTCACCAAATTTATGACTTCCGGCGCATTCGATTAAAATTCAACCGCATAATGCACTAAGCTTAATTGTCATACACTACTCAATCTGGTTATTTCCCCTTTTTGAAATGAAATGATACTGTTAAAACGATCGTGAAATTGTGATGGGTTAACAGTATATCACGTTTTGCTCAGCTACTGAAATATACTAAAAAAAGATTTCATATTCTGGTTCATTAATAATCTTGGGTGCTTACTCCTCTTGATAACATGTCTTATACCGTCAGCTGACTCCAGTTCACAGCTAAACATTTGGATTCTGACTTGTGTAATTGTTTCCATCTTGTTTGGAGGGCGTCCACATGTGGTTGTTTATGTGAGCAAAATCAATAAACGCAATGAAAACGATACAGCTGAACGACACAATGTTGTCATATGTGGACAGAAGCATGATTGACTAGTCCCGGTACACTTCTGTAGGTTGTTTTACCTAACACCAAGTGACAGTTACTCACGGCCTGAAGTTCAGTCACTGGAATCCTGAAAAGATAATGGCTGGGAAACCGTTCGGGCTAGGTTACCAACGTAAGACAACAATCTGCTTGAGGACGGTTCATGAACACGAGCGTCGATATTTATCATAGGTCATGTTATGGTGACCCCATCTTATTTATTAAGGTGCAATTACTTATAAGTAGCTCTCGTAACCAACAATGTTACAGTAAGATCAACTGTGAATACATGGCACAAGCCCCAGTTTCTAAGTCCTTGATCACAAGCACATTATTCAACAAAGGTATAGGAGCGCTATAAGTGGCTGAAGGGCACAATTTAGATAATTACCCGCGGAAAACTTTCTATGATAACTATGTCTCCCGTCAGAAGCACATTGACTGAACACATATACAGAGCATCTCCTTTATAGTAAAATAATTCCTAGGTACAAGTAGAAACTCCAAGAAGTAGTCGGACTACAATACGTCTCGGTCTACGAAAATAGGACAGTACACAGTTTCAAAAGGATAGGAGAACATTCAAAATGAAATTTTAAAAGACTATAAACCAAATATAGAAATCTGTGCTCATTCAGAGAGTAGAGGGAAGTCACCACTTACTCCACGAGTGTTGCTGGGAGTTAAAGTGGCATAGTTATGGTAGTACCAAGATGGCTGAAGATTTTAGGTCGACCCTACGCTGGTGAGGTAAATTTATAGAAGGCAGTGAGAATTTTTAGCTTTAGAAAATTCGACGAATATCGTGATGTCTGTAAACTGACGATCCTCTTGCATAAAATCTGAGAACATATTACTATTACATTCATTTAAATAAACAACTTTACTAAATATTCTAACGTTTCTAGCCCTTATCCTCACTACTCTCCTTCTTGTATGCGTGTGATGACCTAGCTTTGTCTGTCTTTCACTCACTCCCTTCGCCCTACCTTATATTTGTTTTACCATCCAAATCCGTCAACGTCCATACCACTTTCATAGCGCTTAAATCTTTACAGAGATTTCCGTTAATTCGGAGGATTGTTTATCGAGATGAAATTCGCAGTTCAAGGTGGTGCCACTGTCGTGATTAAAACTGCACACTTCCTCCTCTTATTGTGTTCAGCTTAGTTGTAGCATTTCCAGCGGCATTAGAATCCACAAACGTCTAGAAGGTTTCTGGAACAGCCGGAATCAGTCCCGAAGAAGCCCGTCAAAAAATACTAGATATCGGTCGTTGAGAATCGTCAGTGTCTACACTGAATTCATCAGTCGCGAATTAATATTAGATTTCAGTAAGACACATTACATATCATTCTCTCATTTCATGGTTCCTATATATTAAACATTTTGGGCTGAAGAGGCGGGCGAATATCACCATTTATATCACTTGACAGAAAAAGACAGAAGCTGTTGAATAAGAATAGGAAATGTGGATGTGGTTCGCCTTTGATCTAGTATTTAAGTGGTGACATTCACGAAGTACTTAGGAATGATTCATAAACATTGTTAATGGTGACATTTTTAAAGCACTAAGTATTCCGAAGAGTCTTTCTGCATCCAAATGTTTGATATGACGATCAATGGGATGTCTTGTAATAATGTTTCATCAATTTCACAAGATTAATTTTATGGTTCCCATGGTGAGACAGTTCAATATGAACTTTTTACTTCAGTCCAGTTATACTGACGCGACATAGATGGCACTTCACAGTCTGCTTTGGTTTCCTGAGATGTTCAGTTTAGGCAAAATATGTGAGTTTTATTGATACGGAGAAATAAATGGGGTGATGTGGTAGAGTATGATCCTAATATAGGATACCTTTAACCGATGTTTTCAAGTTTTGGTTTTGTTTGATTCGTTGGAGGATTACTTCGTGGACTAACATCAGTTAAAGAAGCATTGGGAAACCCGCAGGGAGCACTGGACAGCCTATGCCATCCTCGATAAGTTACTGCGTCCACTAGTTACAGCCTCCCACCTGAACCACAGGTTAACTGCCTCAATAGGATCGGTCGCTAGTGAAATCCCCCAACCAATCAAAAAAATACCTACGAAACCAACACTTGAAGATTGATCTGATACTCACAAGCAGCTGGTGCTACCCAGACAGTTACCTTTAGTTCCGGTGGGAAGCCGTGAGCAGTTGGGTGCAGCAGGTCGAAAGTGAGGCAGTAACTCATCGAAGACGATATTGCGAAGTGGTTACGCTATGTCATGGATTGGCAGAATTTAGAAATCGTGGGCTGTTGGATCGGGTCCTAGTGGCTCAGTGGTCTAAGAGCCTTGTAACCGGAAGGTCATGTGTCCGAAACCTGATGGTTGCGCACTGCTTAGGAGTCCCAAACCAGTCTGTCAAAACATCTGTCCAGTACTCCCTGCAGGTTTTCCAATGCTCCTCTAATCGATATCAGCTCATGATGAAATCCTTTAACCGGTATGACACACATGTAATATCTTATAATAACTGGTGACGTTTTAAGCATATTTTGTTTTGGTCTGATGAGGGTCTATCAAGCACTGGCAGCTGTAGCGTATATTTTGATGAACACTGCTTTGTTATGATTACTGATATCTGTCAACAGTCCATCTACGGGCATGACTAACTTATGTTGGTCAAAGTAATAATCAATTTAAATCAGAATTTGTTGGTAGTATCAAGGCTTCCTTCACTATTGGTATGTGCGATTGCTGTTTGTAAACCAGATATTCATAAATTTTCTTAACCAGACTAATCTCAGTAAGTGGAAACGGCTGAAGCCGACCCAATGCTTTCTAGTGTTTGGGGAATATGGCATATTGCAGATTGTCATTTGCCACCTAAGAGTACACAGTTTTAGGTAAAAATTCCTCACGGTTTCCTTTGAGAGACAAAAAAATTTAGGTAGCAATATGTCGTCTGCCTGATATTATTAATGTCGGCCCCGAAAAATATGTGAAGCAGGCTGTCGTTGAAGGCAGTTAGCTCGCAGATAGACATGAATTTAGACCAGGAATTATGCTGTGGATTATCTACTTGAAAGGCTTAACCTTTGAGTCTGTTGTTCTGTACATGACCTTAATAGACACTTTACTCACGAATAAATGTATAAAGAGCAGACATTATTCCACCAGTATTCTAATTAGGTATTTATCATTTACGCCTTCTATTTTTCTACATCTCCTGGAATATTAATGCACGAACATTCTCACGTTAAGTCAATCCCAACACTCCAGAAATTTTTCGAGTGACATTTAATAAAATAACCTCTCTCTTGCTGTTGGTCGAAAAGCACCTAGACTGTTTAATAGAGCTGGCAGCATCATTTAAGATAAGACAGTAGGCAGTATTCATGCGTAGTCACAGTTTTATTTAAAAAATGTACGCTCAGAAACCAATGAACGTTTGAATTTATGCCACATTTGTCTAAGGTAGCTTCGATCTGTTACATGAATAAGTTCTGTTTTAATACGCCAAATAAGATTTCATCGCCCCACTTTCTTTTCAACGTGTTGCGTTACAGTTTTGTCCACGACTAAATCTAATCAACATTAAACACTGTCGACTTCCTTCACGAAAAATGCCATGCGGATTGTTGTAATTGGATTACACTGAATTTTTATAACAGTCTGCTGTAATAAGTTTCACTTTGACAGCAGTTCGTCAAGATATAAGCGGTTTTTGATTGCATGAAATGGGTGACAGCACTGATAGCATTACACAAATAATTGAAGCTTTTCGGATTCATTCTCTGAAAATTAATTCGGGGAGCACAAATATCGCCTCATCACAACGGTGCTCTGATGTATGTGTGATTTTTTCTCACTTTATTTTTAGATAACTCATACGCCTGAAAACAAAGTAATTTACTTCATCCACAGAGTTGCTGAATTTGTGAGGCTCTGTGCTGTTGCAAAGCCTCTGGAAGTTCACGCTTTAAGTAAGCTGCTTCAGGAGATTGTCTCACCCTATTTGACTTCAAATGTCGTCTCATCACTTCTAAGTCGTATTTATCAGTCTACAGACTGTTGGGTATCTGTCTTTTCATATTCTTCTAAAGCTTCAAGCCCTCTTTTTCAGCCGGGTTTCTCGAAATTTTGCATTTATTGCCATACACTGCATCACCGCACGCCTATTTCAACTTTCCGGAGAGTGAGAGTTCTGTATGTTATATTTTTTTATTTATTCGTTCAGAATATCGCCTTACCTCCAACGGATAAATGGCCTTGTCAGAGTGGTTGGACATTTCACTGTTGGTTATATAGATATCCGTCTGCTAAAGCCAATAATAAAATTAATTTATATTGGTAGCTTTGTTGTCATTATGTTTCCTAACTGTCTTGCTTTAGTTTTCAGACTTGTGATCGTCTAGGATTCTCAGGATATTTTGTAAATGATGTTTTCTTCCTATCATTAGCTCGGAACAAAGGGAAGATCGATGAATTCCCAGTAAATTTCAATTTTCATCCACATGAGGTTTGAAAACTTTATTTAGTAACTTACACAAAATCTAGTGGTTTATGATTACAATTGTACATTCATTTGCCCGTTGGAGTGGTAGCAATATTTCATGCTATGTTAATGGTGTTTTGGTGTCAAACTTTGATGTTACATGGCATTTAAATTCCAGTGAGGTATGTTAATTTTTGAGCATTTTAACTCGCTACATTCATATTTAGTTTACATATTTTAAAATAGAACTGAAAAAGACATTTATGTTATTTCATTTGTTTTTAAAGTTCTTCGGTATATACTAATCTTTAAGACTGCGTATTTTTTGATATGGTATTTGAATGATGTGTAATATCTCAGTTTAGAGTGTACCGCATGAGTAGTATGCTATTACTAACATGTTATAATGATATATAATGACATATATCCATTCTTATTTCATACAGTATTTAGAAAATACAGACTTTTCAGTTGTGTACTATAACATAGTAGCATCACTGTCTTGGTTTGAGTACGAACTGCTAGTAGTGGTCAAAATTTTGTCCAGAATATTATACCCTGTTATTTCAAATAATCATACAGTAAGGCTTCTTTCTGTTCTAGCTATTTACTAGTCTCTTGAAATGACGTTTTCCTGATGTAATGGTGACAAAGATGTGATCAGCCATATCTGTCAAGCTACTTACATTTTTGTTGTTTTGATAATCATTGCAAGTTATTTTGACGCCTTCGTTAGACGAAAACAAACTATGCTTGTTCAGATGCTAAGTTATCGGAAGGGAATTATGTTTTTTATTTCTAACTTCTTTAGACACTAAAATGAGTGGTCATTAAAATGTTATGCTGAAGGGCAAAGTGTTGTATATTTGTAGAGACTGGTGATTTGTCTTATCAGTATTACAGCCTATAGGACCGTTCCATCTCACGGACTGGATCTCATAGGGCACAAAGGAAATGATAAGCATGGAACTGGTTTACACATAACGTATGCGATCGTACGAATTTTTCTGTTATAATCTATGAATACTGGCTGGTATATTGCCCATTTCCTTTGAATGAGTTGAAATTGCACTTTAGATTATAGTAATCATAATCTGTAAGACTTCCTTTCTATTTTAAGGCTGAGGGAATTATATTCCGCGCTGATAAAGTAGCTGTAACTATCCGATATATGCACACTGTTATGAAACTCTTGCTTCATAAATGTCACATTTCTAACTTGGCAGTGTAGGTTATTGTACCTGCACGATAAAAACACATTGAAAGAGCAAAAATGATGGGTTGCATTTATCTCATAAAATACCTCTTTGATGTGTGTGCATTTTAAGTTGACACATAACTTTGAAGAGTGTATGAAGTGTCACATCTGTTTAAAAAAATAGTAACCTATAGAGCTAAAACTAGACAGTATGGCTCAACATTTTCGCTTAAATTTGATAGTCTTTTTTTAAAAATGATTCACTTTTAAATGTATTAGTGTTCACATTTATTTACTTGGTGGTGTTATGTCAGTGAAATCATGCTCTTACTCTTTATTATAGAGGTAGTTGTTTGGTTTGAAAATTTCATTCATTTTATTTAGTCTGCTTATACCTTTCATCGTTCTTCGTTTTTTTTGTACCTAGATATTCAAGACATGTCTTATTGGTCAATCAAGTGATCCAACTGATGGCAGTAGCTGCTTTAGTGGACATATATCCATAATAATGGGATTTATGGATGTCCTGACTTCTGAACAAATCAGTTACATTTATTTGCTAGGTCCAAAGTATCAGGTATTTTATGCTGAAATTCTGTCTATTTTTGTGCTAAAATTGCGTATTTGTTAATTCACTTGTGGTGGATGTTTATCATACTAGGAAGGTGAAATATTGTTTCTCAATGATGATATTGTTTCAAGGTTTTCAACTCTTTTTTTTTGACTAAGTAAGACGAATTTAATTATCATATTTGCTTTTCCACTGAGGCATGTTTTTTGATTTCGTGAGTTCATTGATAGCATTATTCTCAACACAACTGACCGACACATTTCAACGTAGAACCTTACACAAATTTGCAGCAGTTCAAGTTACCACCCTCCCTTCATGTAGCACACAAAGCAACAGAAGATAGTAAGGCGAGATTTAAAAGAGAAAGATAATAAACAGTAGTGTGGGTGAGGTGAAAAGAATAGTAATATGGAAGAACAATGTAATTTTATTGGATATGACAAACCACAAAGAGTGAATGCGTTTGCGTCATCAATGGGAACGATTATGAGCCATATCACCAATTGTTTCTAGCCGTCATTGGTTCTTACTGCCCCGAGGACCCAAACCAGACAGTCAGTCTACATCTTCCTACGTGACCTAAACTAACTGTTGTGGATTACATTGATTGATGAAGCCATGTTTTGGTTTTACCATCACTGTCTCTTTTCAAACCTGATCCTATGTCAGGTAATATTGACCGTTGAAGAAGGCGATGCCTAGGTATACACAAACATATGCTGACAACGTCTTGAATGGATTCGGACTATTTTACGTCAGTCTTTATGAAGAATTCTACGTAGGGCCTTTGATGTCCCCTCCTTATTCGTTTATTCTTTCGGGTTTTGACTCCTTATTATACATAATTTTTGCATTATTTAAATTACTACTCTCAAACTTCTTACGGATCTTTACACATATGTGAATAAATTCTGGTGGGTAATTTTTTATTGTCAGTGTTTATTTTATTTACTTGATTTCATCATTCAAATCTGAACTATTAGTTAGTTTCTTGACTCGACCATATAAACGCTTAACTAAACCTACTTATACCAATTTTGAATAGGATAAATGAAAGTCTAAGCATTTATGAGAATGTATTGGTTTTCTGTAAATGTTGTTCGTCTCTGTCTGTCTAGATTCAACATAGAACTTGACACCGAAGTGCACCAGTTCCAGTCGCTACGTTCCAAATAGCACACAAAGGTAGACAACAAGGTGAGTGAAGAGAATCAATAGAGTTTGACAGGTATAAGAGCGAAACAGAATGGGTAATGGTAGAAACGAACATGAAAGATTAAAGAGACTGAATACATTTGCTCCATTGACAACGATCACTTTGAGCCATGTCACCATGCCGAGCGATGCTGGGGACATCACTCGTACCCAATTCCCATGAAACTTCATCAACTCTCTTACAAACATTCGAGATGTTCATGAAGCCGGTTCATCCTCCCGTAGAAGATAACCGAAGTAAACAAACAAACAACATGTCACCTATTGTCTCCAGCCATTGATTCTTAGAGTCCCGAGGGCCCCAACCCGGGAATCTGCATCTCCCTACCTGACTCAGTTTAACTGTCAAGGATTTCATGGATTGATGAGGCCATGTTTTTGTTTGGCCACCACTGGCTCTTTTCCAACCTGCACCTATATCAGCTAGTAATGCCCGCCATGGGAGGCGATGGTTAGACATGAACAGCACGTGACCTAGCCATCTCAATTCATGTAACTTTATAGCCTCGTCGATTGATTTTCCGTCTTTGCTCAACACTACGCCTAACGTCAACATTACTTACCTTGTGAAACCACCTAACGTGAGAAAGAGATCTCAGACACCTATGATCAAAAACAGTCAACCTTTTCATCTCTTTAACTCATATTGACCATGTTTCATAGTCATAGAAAATTTATTTTTATTTATTATTTTTCTTTTTTATTTTTGGTTACAGCCTGATTCCACACTGTATTTTCGGTACAAGTATGGAATTTTCAGCGTGGATATCGGTAGCCCAAAATTTGCAGGCCGACCATAGATATCAGGTGTGCGTCGGCGTGGGCTCGAACCCCGGACCATGTGCATGGTCGGCGAGAATCCTAACCACTGTGCCACCGACGCACAAAGCCAGCTCCTCGACCGGGAATCGAACCCGGGCCTTCCACGTGACAGGCGGAGATACTCACCACTATAGAAAAGGACGGAGCGAACTGGTGAGCGGTACACACGTCCCTTGGTTGATAGCCGGATGTCACGCCTACGCCAGAGATGGTGTAAGTTAGCGAAAGCAGCTTAAGCTTTTTGGATCCGTGCTGAGATTTCGTCGGCAATCAATCCGTTGGTGTTGATACAACTTCCGAAATAGGTGAAGTGGTCAACATGTTCTATCACTTCACTCCCTATCACTGAGCTAGGGCTATGTCATCTGCATATTCTAAGTCCATAAGACTATTCCCTGGTAACAAGTAGATTCCTAAGTCGTTACGTTACGTTGCTAGTACCTAACCTACCATATTGTTTTCATTTAATTGTACAGTCTACTATAGCTGACTCACCTTGCTTACTATCTGATTCCAATTTGAATCCGATTGTATCTACTATTGAGGTTATATGTGTGAAAAACTTAGTGATGTGTTCAGATTAATATCCGGTTCATACCCCAAACTATTTTCAGAGCTTCCCTAATCGGAATGTTGTTAGTGTGTAAGCTTGTCACGCTAAAACTAACAATTTTTTTCCAGTATTTTTTATTTGAACTTGCTCTAACTTTTATTTCATTAGGTCTAAATCAGTTAGCCTTGAATCTAACCCATATTTAATGAGATATGTGATTTTGATGCTAATTATCTTGAAAACCTATAAGTCAGGTATTCCGAAAGTCAACTGTTGGAGTAATAAGGTTTCCTGCTTTATGAAATTTAATAATGGTACCATATAGTCTACTAGGATTATTAGTCCTAGTCATTAAGTTCAGCAATTTTAACTCGTTGAGAAATGAATTCATTCTGCTCTAGATTTTTTGATTTCATTGATATTTGTGTTTACAGGTTTATTAATCTTCGTATATGTACGTGTTTGAATATGTTTATTGATCTTGTTAATATAATCTGATGTAACCATAATTACGATTGAATTGTCTAGTTTGGCACTTACTATGTTCTTATCATCCCTTAAACCTTGTAGAGTTGATTTTTCTTCTTGTAGTAAGCTCTTTGTCGCTTTCTTTTTGTGTTTCAGTATCAACATCATCCAGTTAGTAATACTGTATCACTGTGTGTATGTGTGTTATACCAAATAAGCTTATCTAATATAAAAATGTTTTCTGATTATTACCTGTTTAATTTGCTGTGACGAAAACGTTGGTAGTGAGAATGCTCTGTTGTCCTCTGTCATATTCTACACTTAAGCTTTCCCAATGTATCATTATTATTATTGTCCCCTTGGGTTCCAAGTGGAACAAGGTGCTTCAACAGCATATTTTCACTTCATTTTGTCCCCTACGGTCCTCTTTAGTTGGCCTCACGATTTCCCATGTTGTCTCAGATCCTCTCGCAATCTCCTCCATATCACCTTCGGACACACACCCCACTCGTCTTTTCCCATTCTGGTTCCATTCGAGAGGGCCTTTTGCGCTATGTCATTCGATGGTCTGCTGCTATATATTTATTGAGTTTTGGGTTCTTGATTGGTTCGTCCCCAGAGTTTCTTGTTGCTTATTCATTCTGGTCATTTAGTCTTCAACATGGAACCAGTGGAGGCAGCTGCTGATGAAAGTGTGTAACCTGTTGGAAATGCTCTCCGTGATGTGCAAAGTTTCTGTCCCATTCAGGAGAACTAACTTAACATTTGTGTTGAAAATCCGAATTTTTGTTCTTCATGCTGAGTGCACAGGTTTTCCGAACTGATTTCAGGATGATGGAGGTCTATCTTGACTTTCCGGCTGTGCTTTTGACATTCTCATCCGTATTGTTGCCTATAGTTGAAGAGGTGCGCTGCCTGGCTGGATAAGTCTAGGAACAGACGTCTTTCAAATTTATTCCGTTGATGGTGATCAGTGGTTGTTGTTAGTTGGCTATTATCATTACCTCCGGCTTCTCTATGTTCATTTGAATTCTTGTCTTCTCTGCTGCTTCTGTCAGCTTATCAACTTGTTGGTTTTCACTTGTAGGTCTTTGAGTTTTTTTGACATTCACGAAATCCAGATGGTAGTAACATTCTATATCTGTTCCATCTTCCTTTTCTTGCTGTTTTAAATTATGGTTTACTACTACGTGAGTCATACTGTAGCATTTGACAGGCTTAATATAGTTCATAAAATGCCTATATAAAACTAAATAGCCTACTAATATTCTCTAATTATGTTGATTGACGCACTCCCTTACCTCGGTCGCTTAGCTGATAGTAAGCCCGACAAAGAGGGAAGGTGGGGTGTGAGGCTAGCACTCCCACCCTAGCTACTGTAACTTCAAAACTCTAGCTTGAATCCCTGTATGTTCCACTGGGAACTCAAGTCATTAAAAATAGGATCAACGCGATGTATATTCCCGGTGAAATTGCATTTCAACAGTCTTACTAATGGTGTCTTTCTTTTCTTGACAAAAGTTTTGTGATCAGTGAAAAAATAGGCGACCCTGGAAAGTTGTTCCTGCTTAGATATTTTGTAGAAGTGATTAACTCAATATCTACATTTTGTTTTAAAAAACATACTTGAAATTCAATAAACGAATATGTGTCAACCTGTCTTTTTGCCAGTTTTTAATGAGTTCTTCGTTGTGACAGTAAAATCTAAGGTCGTTGCCTCCAAAAATGGAAACTGTCACAGTTTCTTAGGCATTATTCTTAGAGTTTATTGTTATACAAGTACTCAGAAAAACAAAAATTGACACTGAAGCCACCACGGTAGTAAATCAAAGGTTGGATAAAATGTTTCTGAACACAAATTTAAAGATTTTTTCCTATGGATTAATAATAATAATAACAGCTTTATTCCAAACAGTATTTGTGGTACAGGTATGGAATTTTCAGCATG